ATTTGACACTACTTTGAGAAATAACAGTTAATTTAAGTCTTGAAACGCGCAGATAGATGAATCACGGCATTAAATATGTCACTATCAACAGAATGTGCCACAGCATTACTATCTTTTAGATACCCTAGTCTATTTTTAGTAATTGTGCACTATGCTTTTACCATTACTTACTTGTTTTTCTCAAAAAATGCCACAGCCCTCAGACAGGGCTGCCCCAGTCAGTTCTGAAGGATATCAGGTTATGTTTGGAAATATTCATTATGTAATCTGTGCAAGAATTGTCATTTTACCAGAAGCTTAGATTTTGCTTCACAAGAACGTGAAACTTTACACTTTTTGGCTTCTCACTACACAGACATTGAAATTGCTGTGAATCATTCTTAGGTTTAGTTACCTGGACTGGTCCTTCCTCAGTCAAGATAATTATGCCGTTACTTAAATTTCCAGTTCATCCTGAATAAATTGAGGCCTGAATACTTAGATACACTTTACACATTTAAGTGAAAGGTCTAAAATAAGCCCAATCTAGCAGGTAAAAAAGCTGACCAGTGGTGGGTCAAATCATCTGATATTTTTGCCAGAGATAGTTCATTGTGTTTTCGGTTTATGATTTCACATTTTTGGATCATCTAGAAGACGTTTTGCATGGATGCTTATAGAAGTTTTATGAAATTACACTTGAGCCCTCATTTATGTCACACATGAGTGCCTTCACTGGAATTTAAAATTGGTTGATTTAAATGAAGCTCCATTTGAAAATTTTAAAGCTGATGACTTACAAGGTTTTTGTTTTTAAAAGAGAGAAATGTTTCATTAACTTGCTGCAGAAATTAAACAACCCCCAAAAGCATTTTGTTACAGACAAGAAGCTTCATGTCATCGCTGGGTAAGAATGGTGTACATTTCAAAGGTGCAGAAGTTGGGATTTTGCTCAACTTTCTTTGTCATTCTTGAAACATTATTCACACGATACCATAAGAATGAAAGTGTAACTTAGGAAAGCTGTGTCCTAAGTTTATTTTGTCAAATTATCAGAAGGTTTGAGACACTGCCAGTTTTTAGGTTACATGGCCGCATTACTGACATTCACTCCTAGATCTTTTTCTGCTGTCTTTGTATCACACATGCAAGTGAAAATTTCCTGTTATTGTTTTGTGCTGTTCTTAACATGAAGTAAACTTCGTTGCAGTAGATCATTATGTCCAATGTTCTGTACAGTTTTTGTGAATTTTCTTGAAAATAAAAACAGTTTTGAACAAAAAATATACATGTAGCAGTTTCATTAACTCATCATAGGTTATAATTACCTGAGTGAAGTATGAGGTTAGTCAATTTTTCAACTACGTGCCACCCCTGACTCAGTCATAAAAAAGGTTGCTCTTAAATACATAATTGTATCATAAAATAATAATCATCAAACAAACCTGAAGCCACATTTAGAGTGTGCATATTTTTCCATATACATTGAATGTCTCACTGCATTAATTGTAATATCTTCATTATTTGTCTGTAAATAGCTCTTCAGAGATTCCACAGTACAGACTTCCATACGATGCAGTTAATTTTGAAGTGGAACTTATGAAGGACCTAGGAGTGAAGGTAATCAGAAACACTGATTAAAGGGCTGTCAATCCCAAAACATCAAACTGTCCATATTTTTACACTATTTGAGCACTGAGCAAACACTTGACCAACTTACTATAACCTGTTAATTTGTGTGCTGCACAGCAATAATTTATTTTGTTACGTAATTGTTCATAATAACTACATGAACATATAGTTAATAATTTCTGATGGCCTTAATTGTTTTTGGACAAGTTAATAGGGAGATTGAGGTCAGGAGATACTTGCAAATTAAAGTTACTTCCCACCTTCGCAGGTGCCCTTCAGGAAAAAATTTGTAGGTGTGCCAGTTTCAATAAAACCTAAACAAACTATATGTCAGTAGAAAGCTTAATAAATTTAGTTTTTGAGAAAAATATAATTTAAGTGACTTTTTCTTTTGGGAAGTGTCAGCAGCGGGTAAACCGTGAAACGACCGAGAGTTGTTCTCGTGAATTAATCGGGTATCGAATGCCGCGGCACGAGCAAAATGGCTGCAGAGTCTTATTCAACAGGCATCAATCAACAAAACAGTGTCAGGCTTTTTCGATCTTCTGATTGGTTGCCAAGATATCCTAGTCCAAAGTTGAAGAAGCTAAAAATATATGAGACGCTTTGCGTAAATGGTCGCCACAGGAAAAATACTTCAAATATGATAATTTCCTGACACCGTTTTGTTTGTTATTATCNAAGTTTGAGGAATTTGATTTTTTCTGGTCCAAATGGCCATAGTTGAAATTTACAGAGGGCCCCTCTTAAAATACTGTAAACCTTAATAACACTTCAATAGCACTTTAGACCCACTTTCAGGGTTATGTGCATAGCAACTATCTCTCAACATGCCATCTTTTGACATGCTATGTAACCTGGCCTACATAAAATGTAAGCACAAGTGGCTTCTTTGCGGTCGACCTCGACTTTTAGTCATGAAAGATGGATTTATTTGACATCATTAAACTAAGGCTAGGGGCATCAAGAAAACATTCTGTGAGGGATATATCGACTGCTTTGAATGTTTACATCTTTCGAATATTAACTGAGCGGTAGCGACCCAATTCTAGTGGAAGTCACTATTGAGAGCCAATCGACTACACTAAAATCATTTGAATTATCCCCTAAATTGGGAGTCCACAATCTTCATTCATTTGAGGTCAGTAACAAGAAGATCTGTTAGATCTTATAACCGCGCTTTTAAAAATTTAAGTGTTTGCTTAGCACTACAGTCAAAAAGCACTGCACATTCCAAAGCAGTCCTTGACGATTCTTTTGTTACTGTAGACATCACATCACTTGATCAACACAAACTCTATTATTGCACCATCAGTCTTAGCCATTGTGAAATCTCCAATGACGTATTGGTCTTAATCTGGAACTTTCTTCGGGATATGTATGGGCATGAACAATATGAATGATATAATAATAACACTATTAACAACAGCTTTCTTTCTTAAAAGTGACGATTAAATTTAATTGGTGTTTTCCACAATTAAAGGGCTAGCAAAGTAGTCACACGAGTCACATAATTCAAGACTTCCACTATCCACGGCTATCTTTAGTATGGTGGTTATTTCCCTACCAATGATGTAATCCTTGCATGTTCTGACATGTTTTTTGGTTGGCTTGCAAATATTTAATTTTCCTTCCCGATCTATGAACTCGCTGCGATGAAACAGCCAAAGAATTTACTTCATTTGCCTAAACCACAAGAAATACTAGCAAAACTGCAAATAAATTAATGACCGTCAATTCTGCTGAAATAACCTTGCAAAGTAAACATGATCTTATTTGTCACCTACGGAAAGTGAAAGCTGCAACGTCAACCCATTCCATGGCTGACGTAATACTTTTTTTTAGCGCGTTTATTATTCCTTTTGAATCCAACGCTTCGATAAAACCAAAAGAAAATATATTTTATCCACAACAAAGAAAACAATATCCTTAAAATTGTCCGTGTATTAATGTTTCAACAGCTTTTGGCGAACAAATCACACATTGCGTGACTCGAAATTTGGCCGAGTGGAGGTCTGCGTCCGGTCACCGACAAAAAAAAAAAAATAAACCACGGGTAAACCATGAACCGTGCTCGGCCCATGGCCATGTGGTTAATTATCATATACTTGTCATTTGTTCCACTAATAACCGGTAAAATTTGCTAGTTTCACAGCTAAATGGTATTTCAGCAGTTTACATAGTATGTCGAAAGATGGAATGTCGATAGATGGTCGAAAGATGTCACCTATGCACGTAAAACTGAAAGTGGGTGTAACATATATGAGATAACAAAGAAAGCCAATAAATTACAATTACAAAATTTAGAGCATTGCAGATGGTTGAGAAACTCGCACTCGCAACCTAATATTTTTTATCACTCTACTGGTTTTTTAAGCCTCTAAGCTAATGTAGAGAGTAGTGAAAAATTCTTAACTGATAAACTCGTAAATACGTAGAGCGTAGAGCGTAAATGGTGGAAAATGGAGTCTAGCGTAGAGCGTAGAGCGTAGAGCGTGGGGCGTAGAACATAGGGCGTAGAGCGTAGAACGTAGTCAGGGTAAACTCAGTACAGAATTTTAAGTTGAAAACAATTATTAAAACAGTGCAATCCGTAATAACACCCAACATTCCCTAAGCGATATAATATTTGCTACAATAACTATATGCCACGAAAGCTCTACAGTGTACGCATATCTGAGAGAAACGGAGTTTAAACATTCAAAATACTACCGTAGAGTTGCAAATTTCTACGCCTAACCAAGCTTCATAAAATGGGCTGGGTATATTGGACAAAGTTTGAACAAAAATCTATGTGCAGTTTTATTTCAGGGGAATTACCTTAAGAAAATGTGTAAAACCGCTTAAACTCATCAAAGCAGTCTTTTGAACCTCAAAAATGTCTCAAAATGGCTTTAACTGTTAACACTTAAGTTCTAAAGAAGGTTTAACCACTAGAGCAAGACATTTTCATTTCATCTACCCATCGCTTTCGCCAATCCTTAGGCTTTTGGAAGAATTATTGCTCGGCTCTGTGGTGCTACAAGACTGTCGGATTCCCCACACTCACAAAGCTTGTCTTCCTCAGCTATATTTTTCAACAAGTTTTTTTGTGTTTGGCATGTAAAACTTCTCTTGAGAGTTTGAGGTTGTCTTCTTCAAAAATGTTTGTCTTTGAACCTCTTTTGTTCACTGAGGAGCGTTGAAGACTTCGTTGAAAAGACATCAAACTGACAGGCTGGTACTGTGCTGTTTAATTTCTTCACGATTTTATAACATTTACAAAACAGCGAATTCATTTCTCCCTCAGGTATGTCACACAGTTCCCTATTCTCGTTTCCTTGGAAATAATACTGTTTCCATGCCTTCATGTCATTTTGTGTTTAATTCAAGAAACTCGTTAACGATTTTGTTTTCTTTGTTTTCATTCTTGTTGGTGCTTTCAGTTTTCTCGTTTTCCAATTCCATTGATACAGAGACCACATGAAATCTTTAACTGTCACGGAAAATATTTTCCACGGCACAAATTGCGAAAGAAAAGTTTGGTGAACCACCCTCCGCTTCTGAGAAATTTTTCTTGCGGAACACAGTGCGTAATCCCAAGCGGGCAAGATAGCTCCATCTAGCCCACTTGGGTAGCCAATCACAGCACAGGATTCGGTTCATCTTGCCCGCTCATGGAGTTAGCCATATAATAAGGTAATTTATAGATATGTTACTGCCAAACAGCATTGGATGCACACACAAATTAAAAGTGATCAAGTAGTGTTTGATAAATGAGTTGTTGATCCAGTTACTGTTATGCCCAATCCACACAGTTTCACTATGATCAGTTGAGCCAGTAATCGAAGAAGGGGTACTTTCATACCCACTGAAAGAAAAGAGGGATAGGGCAAGATCATAATTATTAGCCCCTAACTTGGAATTCAAACAACAGTTTGATTTTTTTTTACTACACATGTATACTCAGTGGCACACCAATCACTTCCTGGAATGTGCCCCCTTTGGCAAATACAAGAATGTGTGTGGCATGTCACTGTTTCCATGATGGTAAAATCATCACCTCAATGCACCGCCCACTTCATGTCTGAATGTTTGGAATGCATTCTTTGACTGGTACATCACTGAACATCATCGCCCATGAAAAAATTTGTGCAAAAAATGACCAGTGCATGCATATTTTTTAAACATGAAACTATACTCTTAAATTATTATAATTTTAATGGAAAAATATATAAAATACATTAATATGAAAATATGAAAATGGTGAGAAAAGGAAACCCTTAAGACATAAACCAATGCAAGGTCTATGAAAGAGTCATGGGACCCCATACAAGATAGACCAGCTAAATATTTAGAAACAAAAAAATGTAAAAATTTTCAAAAACAACATGAAAAACATGGACACATCATTTATTTCTCCCTAAAAACTAAATACTCCATCACACCTTTCTTAAAATTGGTGATAGTTGTAGCCTTTCAGACTGATAAGGGTAGAGAGTTCCACATGTCTACAATTCTGTTAAAATAGCTAAATTTAAATAAAATTATTTCGTTCTTGGATAATTCTTCTTCAGAGTGCATTCATCCTTTCTCCTTAGTGAATATTTATCAGAGTCTGAGAAAAACTGTAGATATGCAGATAAATCAATATTTAAGTAGCCATTTAAGGCTTCATAAAGAAATAAAAATTTAATGTCAAATAAAGAATTGAGCTTTTCTCTTCGTTGCTCGTAATCAACATCAATCTTTACAATAATAAACTTTGTTGCTCCACGCTGTTGGTGCTATTTCTGGATGTGTGTGGTAACCACACAACAGTACAAAACTCCAACTATGATCTGACCAGGGAAAGATACCAAGTTATCTGTGTATAAACATTTGGAAGTCCTTAAATTTAGAGGTTCTTTTTTATAAGACCTAGGATCTTGTTGACCTTTTATCAATATGAGTGTTCCAAGACAGATTACAGCTGGTAACCAAGCCAAGATCAGAAAACTCAGATGTTAACTCCAGGATGTTACTATTCAGATATAAGTCAGAGTGATTAGGTGTTTTCCTTTTAGTGATATGCATTAGTTTGCATTTCTTTATATTGAACTCCATGAGATTTTGCCGACCCCATGCATATAAATTATCAAGATCTGACTGGAATACAGATCAGCTGGACAGTTTATAACCCTCTAGATGTTTTGCAGACACAGTAGTCTAAGGCATAACTAATTCACAGAGTCTTTTTTTCTATTCTGCTTGGAAAGAAATTTACATTTGCCATAACTATGAAGACTTCATGCTGTCCTGCTGTCAAAAACATTGTAATTAACCAATACTTGTAGTTCTTCATAGCATTTGAGAAAGACGTGCAATTTTCTTGATGTGTAATGGAATATTGTTGCACACTTTAAGACCAACACTGCTATCAGTCAACAGGTGAAATAATGTCTGCCCAACAATTTAAGGATTGATTATTCAACCCCAAAATATCAGTCTCCCAGAATTTTCATACATGTACACACTGTATGTTGCAAATGTCGTTAATGTACTCTTAGTTATGCGAAAATATAATATAGTTGATATTTCTAAAATTAAGTATTTTAGAATTAATTTCCAGAATAGAAAACAAAAAGTTGATCTGAATTTGTTGCAGATTGAACTTGGTAAAGGTTTGGGCAAAGGTGGTTTTTCCATTAAATCTCTCAAGGAAACAGGATACGAAGGCATTTTTGTTGGTATTGGTAAGTTATTTTGAAGCTTTACCTAATATTTCAAACATTCAAAACAATATTCTGAAAACAAGACAGGGTGCAGAGTATTTTTGATGAACTTCAATGGGATATTAAAACTGTATCACAGTGCTTTTTTAATTTAAGAGGTAACAGTCAATGTTTCACTACGGTTGTATCTTTGTATGTTGCAGCATTTCAGTCATAATCACTGGATACAAGAAGCTATTAACCTGAGCAATTAACTGAGTTTAACTAATTTGCTGCTTAAAAAGTGCACCACGAGTGAATTCTTGGGAAAGTAGTCACAGAAGTCACATAAAATATGTGAAGATTTTCTTAGAATTTCTGAAGATAGTTAGAAACTGAACTATTTTGTAGTAATTAGTGATTTTGCACAGCTGATGTTTAAGTAGAATCCTCTCCCATCAAGCACTTAAAGGTGCTCAGTCTAAGTATTTTGAGTTGTTTTGGCAATTCTGCTGACCAGGGTATTTCATGAGCGGACTGACTATTGTGAACAGAATGGCTGCCAAAGTAGTAAACTGAGCTTTTGCATTTGGAATTAAACAAGTGCCCCCAAATTAAATACTCTTTGGTATGCAACAAAGGTGTTTGTATAAATTATTGTACATTTTGGAGATTTTCAGCCTGGATATGGGCCAAATTAGCTCCGATATTCACAAAAAGACATTTGGCACATGACAACATGCCTTTCTTTCCACTAGCACTGAGTTTTATGACATTTTTGGGATGGTTTTGGGAGTTGCCTGCCGCTAAGGCTCTGAGGGCCGATGACCCTATGGTGCTAAGGTGTAAACTTTAATGTTTGTTCAATTGATTAATTTCAATTAATTAATTAGTTCTAGAGGCGAGGAAGTGGCGGGGGTGAGGTGGGAAAGGTACATGTGCACCTCACGTAAAACATGTTCCGTCTACGTCAGTTAGGTCTGAACATCGCAAAGCTATATATTAGTTTCAAGTACCCCCTTGCTCTCCTTGTGGTACTATTCTCTTTAGAACAAAACCAATTTGCACTAAACGCATGCGCAGATTAGTTAGCATTTGTGTCTTCTATATATTAGGTGGAGGATACATTGCATATGGGATCACACACAAATGTTGAGTGGTTTTCCTTGTGGTAGAACCCAACATGTAAGAGGCATGCGTTCTAGCATGGTTTAATAGTGTTATATACTATGATTCCATGTGGTTTTTTTATATGTCTTGTAGTCTGTATTACTCATCCACCTGACTGAAACTTGGCAACGAGCAATCGATAACAAATTAGTTGTGGGCGCCGTATTCATAGACTTCCAGAAGGCATTTGATTACGTTTTACACTCAACCCTTCTTCACAAGCTAGAGCACAACTTTGGAATCTTGGGAAACTTACTGGCATGGCTAAGAGATTATCTATCTGAACAGGAACAGTATACTGTAATTAATGGCATAACCTCTGAGAATACCAAAGTTGCACACGGTATACCACAGGGCTCGGTACTCGGGCCCACACTCTTCACCTTGTACACAAGCAATCTACTGAAAGCAGTTAACACTGCAACGACGTTCCTGTATGCCAATGATACTACCATGCACTGTGTTGGTGAATCTGTAGACCAGGTCACAACAACGCTGAACAAAGCTCTAGAAGAACTCGCCCTCTGGTGCAAACATAACTCCCTGGTACCACACCCCAAAAAGTACGAGGGAATGATCCTTAAACGAAATCATTTTATCGGTCCCTTAGGCAGTTTAAAAATTAACCAGCATCTCATAAAGAGGTCCTCAAGTTCTAAACTGTTAAGTGTAACCATTGACAACAAGCTTACGTGGCCAAAACACCTATCAGAGCTCAAGTGAGGGTTTGTCAACAAGCTCAATCTGATCAAATGCAGTCGCTTTTTACCCAGGAATTCGCTTTTAGATCTATATTTTAAAGTCATTTTACCCTTGGTTACATGTGCGCTACCAATTTGGGGTTGTCGTACAAATAAAAACGAATTTAATTCTTTGGAATCCATACATTGTAGGTCCGCTAGAGTCATATATAACCTCCTGTGCGACATGCCCTCTGAGGATGTAAGAAAAACAGCTAACTGGGACTCTTTATTTGACACTTATAAGGTCAAAATAGCAACCTTAATTTATAATATCTACAACCGCATAACTCCATCGTGCTTGGAACATATAATCCAAAGGAAAGTACATATCTTACTTTTTATTGTCTACATTCAGTTTTAACAATTTTTTGATAATTTTTAATTTTTTATTATTTTATTAACATTTTTTACACAGCTATGATTTATGAGCTTTAAAACCCACCATGTTTAAATAAAAGATGTTGTTGTTGTTGATGTCAGGTAGCGCCACTTGTCCCTTTTTAGTGCAAAAGTGAAACGTATCTTTTAGAATTACTCACAGGTTGGTTCAACAAATACCATCTGCTGTTTTCAAACTACAATTGAAAGGCCGTGTGCAAGAATGTCCCCTAGATTTTTCGGCCATTTTTGAAAGTGCTTAAAACTAGCTGAATTTTGGCATGTGGGCTTCATTTCACCTGAGAAACATTGC